ATATATATATATATATATATATATATATATATATATATATATATATCATGTGTTTGTTATCATCATAACTCTTACAGGGATGTAGAACCCAATTATGTTCTAACAGATGTCTCTTGAGAGGTATTCCTTTTGCGGAATTCCACCGACTCTAGGCGAAGTCATCACATTAACTCATAGGGATGATGTATCTCCTTGGTTAATAGACGAACCTTCTTTCTAAGGGTTTTTCAAAATATTTTTTACAAAATCTTAAATCCCGACATAGATATAACAATATGATAAAAATAACAATAGATAAATAAATGAATAAATAAATAGTTAAATAAAGCAAATATAAAAAACCCAAAAATAAGAAAAAACCCTAAAACCAAAAGATAAGGCTTCTAAACCTAGGGTTGAGTCCCCAACAGATTCGCCAGCTATTGTAACTGGATTTTAAATCGAGAGTCGCCACCCTTAATTTTTATCACGAGGAAGGAAATATAAAGGATAACTATTATACAGTGGGTGAACTGACTTTTTTGGTTTTATCCAAATGTGTGGATAGCTAGAGTCTCCACCGACTTTTATTTTATCCAATATTTAGGAAAGGTGAAAAGAACAGGAAATACCTTTATAGATTTTGAGTTCAGGGGGTAAGTTATGAAAATGGAAGGTGTTAGCACCCTTCTCATCCGTAGTTGTCTACGGGCTCTTAATTGCTTAGCTCACTTTTTGAAAACTTGCTTTATGTGTGTGTGTGATTTATTTGAAAATATTTTGAAATGCCAATGTAAGGCTAACTTTGTAATGATTCTTGTATCAGTCCTCAATATTGCATACAGTTTTTTTTGAAAATATTTATTTGAAAGTGTGATGTGTGAAAAATGTTTTTTAGAAAAAAATATGAGCAAGCGATTAAGAGTTCCTTACCCACTCAAGGTCATTCTTGTCCTTTTCCTTCTCCTTTAGAGACAGTGTTATCTGTACCATTACTTGGTAGGTAGTCCCATGTATTGGATGTGAAGGGACATGGGTAGGGTCATCGAATGGTCATCGAAGGAAACATGTAAGGATACTTTAGCAATTTGTATCGGAGGGACTATAATTTTTGTAGGCAACTTCGAAGGGTCATCAAGGGACTATGATCTTTTATTCGAAAGGGTCTTTTGCTAAAGCATCCCTACTTTCGAGGGACATGACCAAGTATCATAAGGCAACAAGAGAGGATACCCTAGAGGTGAAAGTGTGTGAAGTATATTTATTCAGTTATTTTATCTTGAGAATTTAGGGTTTTCTATGTTTGTTTATTAGTCTTGTCATATAAACCCTAGTTACTAGCAATTATAAAGTGTACAGAAAATAAAATGCGGAAAGTAAAATTCCTAAGCTATTATATGGCTTTGGGGCAGTTACATAATATGAGAATGCAAGAAATTAAATCTATAGTTATTACAATGATGGTTTCAACCTATACATTTTATCTAAGAAAATTAAATAGCAAAAAGAAAGAAAATAAGAAAATGTTTTGAAAAAAAAAAGATATTTAGAAGACCTAAAGTTCTAGGTATTAATATTTTTGATGTTTTATAGAAAATAATTTAAATGATAATAATTAATAAAAACCTAAATTTTTAATTGATTTAGAAAAAGTTTAGTTAATTAATTAATTAGTTTAGTAAATAAAAAAAGAAAATTAAATATTAGTTAAAAACCTAAACCTAATTAGTGTTAAGAAAAATAATTAGTTTAGTTTAATGATGATTAATAAAAAAGAATTAGGGTTAATTAAGAAAAAGAAAAGGAAAATAGGTTAAACAAAATAAGGTTAAAAAAATTGTATGGGGTGGGTGTTAAACCCACGCCCCTGGCCCCAAAGATATGCATTGCTTGCCACTAGGCCAAGCGCCTATTGGTGATAGCAAACAAGAACTGAATAATATATGTAAAACCTGCATGTTAGTTTGAAAAACAAACAAAATAAATGTAAGACGCAGAGACAAAACCCACGCCCTTCACATTACACGTCTTCGCCTCAACTAACTGCGTTATGCCTCCATATGTTAACATAATAAAAACAAAGAAATATATTATAAACCAGTGAACCAGAGAAGCACCAGAGCCCTAGCTCCGGTCGTCTTCTCCGACAAGGCCTTTCATCAACCTGCAAAAATAACGCGTGTTAGAGAGAAAAGAAGACCATATCCCTCTAACTCTACCCTCCTGAATTCATTGGTGACATCCTTTTGGCCTGAAAGTGATTGTATCATGAGTTTTGAAACAAAACTCAGATTATGCCCTAATAATGGCAAGTCCTTTTCCCTGCACTAAACTTCAAAAGCAATACGTCAAAACAGTTCCACACATCAATATGATCATGAATATATGCATAAAATTCATTTATATTGCATGAATAAAGAGCTAGAGTTTATTAAATTTTATCCAACTAACGTGTTTGTATGAGTGATTTCTAGTGTGCTTTAGGCTTCAAGGAGGGAAGGGATGGACTCCTGGGATCTTCATGGAGATGATAGAAGGCTTGGTTTTGATTTCAAGAGGCTGGAGACAAGGATTTGACTTTGCTCCAAAATTTGAGATTTTTTTAGAGTGTGTTATTGAGGAAATTTCGTGTCTTTGAAGGTCTGAATAATTCTCTATTTATAGGCTATGAATCAATGCCACGTGTTGAAAATTTTACTGGAAATTTTGCGTGAAATCTTCCCGTTTTAAACCAATCATGTACCAATCAATGCCACATGTTTTTCTAGTTGATTATACAATTTTTATCCTTATTATTTGATTTAAAACAAAAGTCATGTGCCTCATATCTTTGCTTTAGTATTTTATTTTATTTATTTTGCTTTTAATTGAATAAAAGCAAAATAAAAAGAAATAAAAACCACACAAATAAATAAATGGACTTAGTGGTCTATTATGAGATAAGGAACACGTTTGAACTTTAAAAGATAAGCCCATTAGCCCAAAAATTCAAATTTGCTAAATTTGAGTTTCATGCATTTTCTTAAAATTGACCAACTTACACAATTCATATCTCACTCAATTTTCATCATATAAAGGTGATCTTGGACTTTTTGTAAACCTAATGATGTTCGCTACAACCTTCATGTTTTCCACTTTTCTATTTGAAGATTTTATCTTGATGTAATGTGCTTTGACAAAAAGTGTCTTTTTGTTGACTTTTAAAATGACCTGTAATGCTTTGGCTCATATCTGTCAAATGAAGCTTTTTTTTCTCCTTGAGCTTAGAGAGACAAAGTTGTAGAGAATTGAATTTCCATCAAAATGGGCTTTGGGGGAGAATTTTCTGATGAAGCATATGAAAGTTATGCTTGGTCAAAGTTCAGTTGACTTCTCCTAAGGAAAACCCTAATTTAGTAACTTTTCACTTTTGACGAATCTTGAGTTTTCTTGATGAATCATGATCAACCCTTGACAAAGCGATGAATGTGACTTCAAAATGTTGATGTTGACCAAACATCTTGAAGTTTGACTATAAATAGGTCAAAGTTGACTTTTTATCCAAAATAGTTAATTTTCAATCATCTGGCTAATTGATTGAGCAAACTTGTGACACAAGGCTTGTAATTTGGCATGAGGATTCTTTGTAGCATATGAGAAACCATGAAAACCACTTGAGGCATTAGAAGTCCAATTACCTTGAGAAAAACAAAACCCTAGTTATAGGTCAATGCTTAAGAGAAGGGTTTGTTTGATCAATCTTTGAATAGTCTTGAGCAATTGAGAACCCTAGGAGCATGAGGAGATATCTTGAATCAATTTGTTTTGAAAAATGGGAGGGAAAATTTTGGGGTACAACAATAACCCTAAAAAGTTAGAGATTCTAAGTTTTTGGACTCGGTCTTAGACGAAGGAAAAGTGTTAGCCACCACTCATCTACCTTGTTCGCAAGGATACTAGGGTTAGAAACACAATTTTTTAGAAATAGGGTTTTCAAGTTTTATTAGGGGAACTCACCATGAATTGAGTCGTATGCCTACGTATCCTCTTATAAGGAATCAGTGTCCCAATTTGTAGTTCGCAGTTGGTTAGTTTTTTTTACGGATTACGAAGATATTTGAATTTTCCGCATACTTAGTCTAGGTGTATGAATAGCGGAGATATTTAGACAAAACGTGCAGTTAATTAAAATATGCTTCGTAATCCTTTTCAAAAATTAATTGTTGAATTAATTTAGTTATGAAAAATGATTTATTGTTGGTTGAATATTTTTTATGTGTTAATTGTAGAAAACATTTTATTAAATGCATGGTTAAAAAATAATTTAATGCACTAAAATAAATAATATTTTGGATGAATTTAGAAAATGATATTTATATGATTTAATAATAAAAATAAATAATATAATATTATATTCATAAAAAGAAAATAGAAAATATAAAAATAATGAAGAAAATTAAATAAAAGCAAGGGGGTGCGAATATAGTTAAGGTAGTAAAATAAGGGGGTGCTAACAGCATGGGCCTAAATTCAGATATTAAATTCAGGCCCAAAAGTGCAGGGAGTGTAGAAATAACCTAGTAAGAAAAAATAAAATAAAAAAGATAGGGGTGTCGATAGTAGGGCTTAAGTTCAGAAAATATTTTAGAGGCCGAACAAAGTTAAGGGTGCGTTGGGATCGTGTAGGCGCGTGCTCGTATGATGCTATCATTGGCTAGCAAAATGTTTAGCGTATGATGGTGATCAGATGGTTGTGATGGAGGGAATATGGTAACTATTATAGACTTGTGCGCATGGAATCATAAGGAATCATATATTTTCGTTTTACACGTTATTTAGTCATTTGTTATCCCTTTTCTCTCTCTCTGACCCTATTTTTCTTATTTCTTCTTGCCTAAAACAACAACAGTACCACACCCGAAACCCTAATCCCCACCGGAGTTGGTGATGAAGCCATACGAACTCAAATCAAACCAAAAATTGCGATTACGGAAACCTTAAAGCTAAGGATTCAGAGGCTAACCATGATTCTTCCCTGTGTATTATCCGATTTTGCTCTGCTTTGTTCTGATTTTCCCCTTTGGTTCGCATGTACAGAGAGTGACACGACGTGGAGATGATGGCGACATCGGCGTGATGAGGATGAAGGTAGCAACGACGAATTTTAGGGTTTCAGAAATTGAAACCCTAGGCGATGGCAGTGGATACGTGGCGGTGAGATGCAGGCTCTCGGTTCTTCTTTTCTCCCCCTGTCCACTTTTCTGTCTAAGTTTCCCTTCTGCAATTTTCCCTCCCCTGTAATAATTTTCCTCTCCCATTCTCTATATTTGTTCTTTAGGTTTTATAGCAATTTTGATTTAGATGATTTAGAAAATAATTTTCGTGAGATTCATTACTCTTGATCTGGTTTTAAGGAATTAGGGAAATTACAGATTTGTAATTGATTTGTGTTGTAAATGTTTTTATTTAGTATTGATTAGTTTCTGTTTTAGTTTGATTCAATGTAAATAATTGATTTTGTTGTATGATTCGTTTCTGTTATGAGAAGTTTGTATTGATGAATAAGGATTTGATTTGATTTTCTAAAAAAGAGTTATATTTCTTTGATTCAAACAGTGCATGTTATTTATTTAATTAAACAGTACAATAGGCATTTCAACCTTTGGACCATGTGTTTTTTCTTTTATTTTGGGCTTGGGCCTATTTGGCTTTGGACTCGGAAATGGACTGTATGAAAAGCTGCAGGCTTTTTTTTTTTTAATTTATTAAGTTTTGTAATTTAATGACTCTGACAATGTTATGCAACGTTGCATAATATAAATAAAGACATTAATGACAATAATTCTAATAATGTAATTAAAAACAAAAACAACCCTCAAACCAAAAATTGAATGGGCCTCATTGTTTTATTGGGCTTCTTAAAAAATTCTGATTTGTTTTATGGACCCCCTCTTTTAATACTTGAAATGAATTAAAAAAACTACATAGGCCCTTTCTAATTTAGAAATGCCCATGATTTTTCATAATAGTGTACTCCCAACATGAAAACGAACCCTCTCTCAAAATGAACGAAACCTTAATCGGCCATTAGATATTGATGGTCCATTTTTAGACAATACATATCTCTTCCATATTTTCCACCTCTGTAGAAATAAAAACTACAGAATATGATTTATTCAATTAGAAACCTAAATGTAATATAATGGTAGGGAAAATTTGGGGTATGACAGACCGTAACGGGTTGAAGGATGTGTATTGACTACCTGAGGCTTAATCAAGCAACTAGGAAAAATCACTTTCCTCTTCCTTTTATGGATCAAATGCTTAAAAGGTTATCAGGTCAAGAGTTCTATTTTTTTTAGATGGGTATTCCGGGTATAACCAAATTACAGTTAATCCGGAAGACCATGAGAAAACGACTTTTACTTGTCCGTTTGGAGTTTTTGCCTATAGGAGGATGGCCTTTGGTTTGTGCAATGCACCGACAACTTTTCAAAGGTGTATGCAAGCCATATTTTCCGATCTTATTGAGAAGACTATGGAAGTTTTCATGGACAAATTCTCCATTTTCGGGGCGTGTTTTGATCTTTGTTTGAAAATTTTGGATACCGTCTTGAAGAGGTGTGTAGACACCAACTTAGTTCTTAATTGGTAAAAATGTAACTTCATGGTTACCAAGGGCATTGTTCTTGGTCACAAAGTTTCATCAAAGGGGCTTGAAGTTGACAAATCCAAAGTGGAGGTTATTGGGAAGTTTCCACCACCATTGATCGTGAAGGGGATCCGAAGTTTTCTAGGTCATGCAGGCTTCTATCGGAGATATGTCAAAGACTTTTCCAAAATTACAAGGGCTTTGAGCAACTTGTTCAACAAAGATAAGTCTTTTATTTTCGATGATGCTTGTTTGATATCTTTTAATAATTTGAAACAAAATTTGACAACCGCACCCATACTTGTAGCACAAAATTGGAAAATAGATTTTGAACTAATGTGTGATGCTAGCGATTATATTGTTGGTGCAGTTCTTGGTCAAAGAAAAGGAAAAAATTTGCATGCGATACATTATGCTAGCAAGGTTCTTAATGAAGCACAAATTAATTATGCCACAACTGAAAAATAATTGTTAGCTATAAGGTATGCAATAGAAAAATTTAGATCTTACCTTATTGGATCGAAGGTTATGGTCTACCATGACCATGCGACGATAATGTATTTGCTTATCAAACCAAAATCTAAGCAAATACTTATTCGTTGGATCCTTTTATTGCAAGAATTTGATCTAGAAATTCACAAAAAGAAAGGGTTCGAGAAATTAGTAGCAGATCACTTATCCCGCTTGGTCAATGTAGAAGTCACTAACCAAGAAAGTGAAGTTTGAGAGGAATTTCCTGATGAAAATTTTTTATGGTATAAGTTTGATTGTGGTTTGCCAATTTTGCGAATCATAAGACATCCAGATTGATATCGAAGGATCTAACTTGGGACCAAAAGAGGAAATTCTTGGCGGATGCGAGATTTTATGTTTGGGATGAGCCTTATCTTTTTAGGCTTGGAAGTGATAATTTGTTAAGAAGGTGTGTGTCATTGGAGGAGTCTAAAAGTATACTTTGGCATTGTCCCAATTCTCCATATGGAGGTCATTTTAATGGTTTATGTACGACAACGAAAGTCCTTCAATCGCGATTTTATTGGCCGTCTTTGTTCAAAGATGCATACTTGCATGCTAAGAGTTGTGATAAATGCCAAATAAGTGGAGGAATTGGAAAAAGATGAGATGCCCTTGAATAACATGTTGGAAATATAAGTTTTTGATTGTTGGGGCATAGATTTTGTAGGACCATTTCCCCCATCTTTTTCGAATGAATTTATCCTTGTTGCGGTTGATTATGTTTTTAAATGGGTGGAAGCGATAGCTTGTCCTAGGGCGAATGGCAAAATGGTAATTAAATTTCTAAAGATTTTTTTTTTCTGTTTTGGTACACCGCACGTGTTAATTAGTGATGGTGGATCACACTTTTGCAATACACCTCTTGAAAAAGTCTTGGAAAATTATGGTGTAAAGCATAAAGTGCAGACTATGCACCATCTACAAGATAACGGTCAAGCGGAAGTGTCAAGTAGAGAAGTTAAAAGAATTTTTTAGAAGAATGTGTAAAATTCGCGAAAGGATTAGTATCTTAAGTTAGATTAGGCTTTGTAGGCATATCACACCACTTACAAAGCTCCGATTTGTTTGACACCGTTTCAAATGGTGTATGGAAAACATGTCACCTTCTAGTTGAAATTGAGAACAAGGCTCTTTGGGCTTTAAAGTTTTTAAACTTTGATTCTAACTTGGATGGAGAAAAAAGAAAAATTCAATTGCAAGGTTTAGATGAAATGCGCAATGATGCTTACCATTCCAACAAGCTGTATAAGGAGAAGGTCAAATTTTACCATGATAAGAAATTCGACACAAGGACTTCAAAGTTGGCAAATGGTGCTTCTTTTCAATTTGCGGTTAAAATTTTTTCCGGGAAAATTAAAGTCTAAATGGTCGGGTCCGTTCTGGATTAAGCATGTGAAATACTATGGAGCAATTGTGTTGGAGGATCTAATATCAAAAGAAATTTGGACTGTGAATGGTCAACAATTGAAAATCTATCCTGGAGAAGAAGCAAATCAGGAAACAAGTGATATTCATCTTGGTGATTTGTGAAATCACCATAGACCGACGAGCTCTGACGACGTTAAAGAAAGAACTTGTTGGGAGGCACCCCAACATTTTAAGTATTTCTTGCATTTAATTTGTTCAATTGAAGTATTATAGTATGGAAAAAGTCAGGCAAAAATTGATGCAGTGCATTCTGCAGCCGAAACAAATTTATGTTTCTGGTGTTGCTCGCCGGGCGAGTGTGGGGTGAAGGCATTTCGGCTGACCCTTGCATCTGCTTCGCTGGGTGAAGCTTCACATATAACCCTGGATCGTTTTGCTTCATTTTACTGGTTGGGTAATTATTTAACCCGTTTTGCTTGGGCCCATATTTTGACCCATTATATTGAAGTGTAGTGGTCCACCTTTTTTTCACTTTTCTTTCCCCTTTCATCACAAAAGAAACCCTAGCAGCCTTATTGTAATCTTGCTCTCTCAACTTCAACTCTTTGCAAAATTTTCAATTTTCATTTCAAAATTTGAAGGTAAATATTTTGACCATATCTATTTATTTATGTTCAAGCAAATGTTTTGAAGTTGGGTCTTAGAGTAAAATCTGTAGAATGCATGTGGTTAGGTAATGATTTAAAACCCCATTGTATAATCTAAAATCTCCATGATTGATACTGTGTTTTGGACATGATATTTGAAATAAAATTGGATTATGAAAGCATCTCTGGTTTTTTTCATTTCTAGGTCTCTCGTGGCTTCCTCGCCAAGCGAAGCAGAGGCGAAGCCTCGCTTGCTCGTGGTCAGGCGAAGCTGGGGCGGCAGTTCAAAATTCTGCCGTAATTCTATTTTTTAGTATTGTTTATTCTAACAAGTTTGGTGTTATCTTGTTGTATGTTTGTTTAATTTTTGGATCAGATGCCTCCTAAAGGTACAGCCGGTTCCATGAAGCAAAAGACATGTTGACTTAATATCATGATGTATGCTTTCTATGATGAAGTGATGTGATTATACGTTGATGGAATATGATGTATGCTTTCTATGATGAAGTGATGTGGTTATGCCTTGATGTAATATGATGTATGTTTTCTTTGATGAAGTTATGTGATTATGCATTGTTGTAACATGATGTATGCTTTTTATGATAAATTTATGTTGTTATGATGATGATGCATTTATTATGAAGATGTTATATGACATTGTATGAATATTTTGCATAGTATGTGCATAATGATGACGATGATGATGTTGTTGGCCTGTATGGCATAATGTTGAGGTTCATGCCCTGTAATTGCATAATTATGTTGTTTCATGTTGCACGCATGCATTGTTAAGGGCTTATGCTCTATTGTTGGCCTAGATTGGAAAATTGTTGAGGCCTTATGCCCTATTGTTGGCCTAGATTGGAAAATTATGGAGGGCTTACGCCTTGTTGCTGCCCTATTTGGCATTTTGGAGAGGGCTTATACCCTGATGGTACCACATGCATCAATGTCAGTTGGTCGCATGCATTGCATTGCATGGTTGATTTGTTGATGTTGAATTATGTAGATGATGTATGTTAATTTTGAATTATGTAGAAGATGTATATTGATGTTGAATTATGTAGATGATGTATGTTGATGTTGTATTATTAGATGATGTATGTTGATGTTGTATATTTGACATGCCAAATGA